TGGTCCTAGGGTTCTCTGTTCCTAGACTGTAAGATTAACTACTGCCCCCTTTTTGCTACAAAACTTCTTTTACAATTGTGACAATCACAATTAGTCATGGTAACAATTACTACTGAATCATAAGAATCTTATCCCTATCTCCTTTCACCAGACCTGTCTAGACAACATGAAAACTATTCAGTGGGAACTCTCTACCCCCACACATTTTTTTTTTTTTAATGTTTTATTGTGAATTATGTGATAGTTTACATGGGAGAACATCAGTTTTACATTCATTGTATCTTATATCGTCTCATTGCCACGGTTACAACCCCACACACTCTTAATCTAAACTCCCTCTTAAAAATTTGTAAGCCATCACTTTGTGCCTTTATTGTCCCGCTCCCCAGTTTAGCTAGTGTCTAAGTTGCCCACCCTTATCAACCGTGTATATAGAGGGGATAAGAATGATCCTAGATCTGAAGATTTCGTCCCTCTCAGTTGATATTTTGAGCTACTATACCCTTAAGTATAGGTCAAGTTCATCAAATTGTAGCAATTTACACTTGTTTCCTTTATCAAAATTTAGGAAGCCAACTGATTTTTATATGTTGATCTTGTATTCTGCCACTTTGCTTAATCTTTCAATGAGTTCCAATAATTTTCTTGATGAGTCTTTGGAGTTTATGTATGGAATCATGTCATCTGCAAATAGAGAGTTTTGTTTCTTCTTTCCCAGTTTTGATGCCTTTAAACTTTTTATTACCCTTTCTTGACTTATAGCTCTGGCTAAGACTTTCAACACAATATTCAATAGGAATGATGATAAAGGACATCCTTGTCTGGCTCCTGTTTGCAAAGGGAATGTGCTTAGCTTCTCTCTATTTAGAGTAATGTTGGCTGTTGGACTTGTATAAATGAATCCCACTTGGTCATGTTGTATTACTTTTTTTGATATGTTGCTGAATTCTATTGGGTAGGATTTTGTTGAGAACTTTTGCTTCCATGCTCATGAGGGATGTTGATCTATAATTTTCTTTTTTAGTGATATCTTTGCCTGGTATTGGTATGAGGGTTATGCTTGCTTCATAAAATGTATTCAGGAATTATGTATATAATTTTGTTCATGAATTTCCCATCTATTCCTATTTTGTTGAGTGTTTTTATCAGGAAATGGATGTTGGATTTTGTCAAATGCATTTTCTGCACTAATTGATAGGATCTTGTCATTTTTTTCCTTTGTTTTACTTTATGTGGTGGCTTACGTTGATTGTTTTTCTAATACTGACATCCTTGCATCCCTGGTATGAATCCCATTTGGTCACAATGTGTTACTTTTTTGATAAGTTGTTGAACCCTATTGGCTAGGATTTTGTTGAGACAGATATTGTTCTATAATTTTCTTTTTTAGTGATGTCTGCCTGCTGTTGGTATCGGGGTTATGTTTGCTTCATAAAATGTATTCAGGAATTTTCTATACTTTTCTATGTTCTGGAATAGTTTGTGCAGAATTGGTGTCAGTTTGTCTCTGTATGTTTGTTAGAATTTATCAGTAAAGTCACTTAGGACTGGCCTTTTTTTTAGTTGAGAGTGTTTAAATGACCTAGATCAGTTTCTTGTTAATATAGGTTTGACCGAGTTTTCTACTTCATTCTGTGTTAGTTTAGATAGGCTATGTTTTTCTTAAAATTTACTTATTTCTTCTAGATTTTCTAATTTGTTGGAGTACAATTTTTCACAGTATTCTGCCATTATCCTTTTTAATCCGTTGGTCCTGTTGTGACATCACCTATATCATTTCTTATGCATGTCATTTGCACCTTCTCCTTTTCTTTTCTCAGATTTTTCAATGGTTTGCCGATTTCATTAATCCTTTCAAAGAACCACCTTCTTATTTAATTGATTCTATTTTTTCTGTTTTCTATTTCGTTTATAATTTTTATTATTTCTTTTCTTCTGGTGGCTGTCGGCTTACTGTACTGTTCGTTTTCTAATTGTTTGAAATGCTATATTAATGTGTGGATTTTGGCTCTTTCTTCTTTTTGGATATGTCTTTACTGCTATAAATTGTACTCTAAACACTGCTTAAGCTGTGTCCTAAAGGTATTGTGATTTTGCTCTTATTGGATTCAGAGAATTTTTTAAATTTCATTTTTCATTTGTTCTACTTACCTAGTAGCTTTTAAACAGGGTGTAATTCAATTTCCTTTTGTTTGATTTATTTTCTTTGATCTTCGTATTATTGATTTTTAGTTTTATAGCAATGCGATCAGAAAAGGTGCTTTGTGATATTTTGCTGTTTTAAAATTTATTGAGGCTTGCTTTGTGGCCCTAACTGCATATCTTGTTCTACTTCTAGAAATATAATCCAAATACTTTTATACTGACGTACAATTGGGCAAAAGTATTATTTTTATTTGTTAATGGTATCCATAAGCAGAGCTTCTACTGAGTCATTTAATATCTTTGAGGGATACTTTCCAGTCTGGATGGTGAGATACCTCCAATGAGAGCCACATCATCTACTGACCCTTGTTATGATAGCATAATATGAGATGGGAAGGAATAACAGAATTTTTTTTTTTTAACTCAAACTTAAGATCTCACATGTTAATCCAATAAAGAGATAATTATAAGTATTTCCTGCCGTCAAGAAATGTTACATTCTAGTGGGAGGAGATATACGGTAACAGATCCCCTAAGTAAAATATGATGATGAAAAGTAACAGAAAAATAAGGCTGGGGAAAGTGATAGAGGGTGATGATTTTATAGAGAGCCGGCATGAAAGCCTGCATGAAGCCTGTGAATACAGACCTGGAGAAAAGCCTTCTGTGCAGAGGAAACAGACCCTGAAGCAGAAGTGTGCTTGGTGTATTCAATGAAAAGCCTTCCAATCCAGGTTAGTAGCTAAGGGAGAAAGTAATGGCTGTGGTGAAAGATTACAGGACCCACATCATGTAGGCACTTGTAGGCTACAACACGGTGGTTGATCTAAATGATATGAAGCTATTGGGGCATTCTAAGTAGGGCAGTGGAATGACCTGGCTTGTTTCAGATCCCCCTGGTTGCAGATAGACTGTAGGGTGGAGGGAGAGCAAAAGCAAGAGATAAGGGATGTGAAGCAGTCAAATTCTGAATATCCATGACTTCTCAACAGACATATAATGAAGTAATAGAGACAAGAAACAGTCAAAATCACCCTGAAGTTTTTGACCTGAGCAAACAGAGAGTTGCTATTAAGTGAGAGAGTATTTCTGGATAAAGATCAAGAGGTCAGCTTTGGATGGACATGTGACCATGGAGATGTCTGTTAGATATTCAAGTAAAGGTATTGGGAAAGTACCTAGATAAGATGAATCTGGAAGAAAAATAGTGAGACTAAAGGGCTGTCAGCATATAGATGGTATTCAAAGCCATGATACTGAAGACAACCTATGAGTGAGTGTAAATAGTAGAAAGAGAATGTGAGGAGATGAAATGGAAGCAGGAAGTAGAGACTACACTGCTGAGTTGTATGAGGGGCACCCAAAAGTTCGTGGAATAATCAAACTATAAGGTAATGGAATTAGCATATTTGTATGCTAATGAAAAGGATCCTGTAGAGAGGGGAAAACTGTTGTTTTAGGAAACAGAAGGATGACTAGCTGGAGCCACATTCTTGAGCAAGCAAGTATAAAAATAGGCCATCTTGTCTGTGCCTGAGGCAGGGGTCCTTCATCCACCTGCTGACTCTCACTGCGAAATGGGCCAGATACACCAGACATTCCTAGAGCCCAGATAAATGAGAGGTGATATGCTTTGCTTTCCAAAATTTCTTTGATAGTAAATTCAAAATTTACTATTTTATATTTGCAATACATTTTAGAAGTGTAAAATAACATCTTGGAAATAACAAAACTAATTTTAGAAGGCACGCAACTAAAGTAGAAATTATAGATGTTTCCAGGAACACCCTAGTAAACATGTGACTGTGCTAAAGAAATTCACTTGCGGGGTTACTAGCATGCTATTTTCTTGATGTAACTTTCCATTCACAATACTGATGTGGTTGTTAAGTGCCATCTAGTCAGTTCTGACGCATAGTGACCCTGTATAAGGTTTCTGAGACGTGGATGCTGGGCTTGAACTGTTGACATTGCAGCTAGAAGTTCAGTGCTATCCTAGAGTGTCACACCAGGGCCCTAACCATTTACAATGAAGGTGGTCAATTATTAATGTTTCATTACCCTATAGCAAGGCAGCAATCGCTCCGAATAAAAGAATAAAAATATAAAATGCAACTAAAAAGAATGAGAATGAATATGTAGGCTTTGATTATTGCAAGCATATCCAAATGCATAAAAGAAAAGGTGTCCCAAGTACCTTAGCTGAATGAATAGTAACACAAAATAAGGTAGAAGTTAGCAAAATTAATTACAAATTAACATATTACACCATATAAAACAACATGCCTAAAAAGTCTAATACCAAGACATTATTTTCTAAGTTAGAGTGACCAATGATGTGAAAGCCATAATGAATACAAATGATACAATGCTTTTCCAATGCAAAGAAATATATTTAATATTCTTATGAATCCCACTTGATATTATAAACTTTACTGAACAAAATTATTTTTTGTTAGAAAAACCGCTATCTTGAAAGGGCAGGTATTACATATAAATAATTTAAAAATATTGTCATACGATGTCAAATGATGAAAATATAAAATCATTTTAACGTAAGAAAATGTTGTACCAAAAAGGCTGTCAAAATACAAAACCAACGCTATTTGAAAACGAAGAGAACAATCAAGGTCACAAAACAGTAGCAACTATTTCTACAGTACGGCAGATATGGAAATGTCATCCTGAAGTAGTAATGACAAAGGACAGAGAGGTAGCTTTTAATAATGCTAGGGACATAACTGATTAACTTACCACTTTATTCAATTGAAAGTGAGAATCTCTTATGAGAATTTAAACACCATTAGGAGAGACCTCTTAGAGCAGTTAGTTACATGTCTCATTTCAGTAGCAAACTATTTCAATGGTGAAAATGATGCAGGAACCAGGAGCATATTCTGCTGTGAGACTAGATAGTTGACACTTTCCCGAACTGTAAGAAAATAGCGTAAGGATACACATAGAGTTAATGACTTAATCAAATATGTTCAAAAAATAATTCATGCCTAGTCAGATAGCTTACCAGCGGCCACAACTCTGGGATCCTCATGAGACTGATGTCTCCCAGCTGCACGGCTATCTGGACTCTCATTCCACCAAAGAACATGAACTGCAGAAATAAACCAAACATAGATTCTAAAGAATCTGGCTTTCCTATAAATAAGAACTACAGAAAAATGATTTCGAAACGTTAAAAATTTTTTCTTTAAATGAAAACACTGTCAAAAAGTGAAACTAAAATATGTCTGTGTCAAGATTTCGGAAGGATTTTCAGAGATATGGATAAGGAATTTTCAAATTAATCAAATTGGTTTCAGTTATGAAGACAGAAGGCTGGAGAAGGAAAATAAAGTAGCACAGCTGAAGACAGAACCAAAACTAGACTCGAGTTTCATATTTTATCTAAACTTTCTACTTTTTACCCTACTGAAAAAAAAGATTATGAAGAGAACTGTGTTTACTTTAGAAATTTTAGATGATACAAAGAAAATAAAAATAAGCATAATCTTAACCTGTCCGAGAAAACAACTTCATCTTTGGTCTATTTCTTTTTTAAAATATGCATAATCGGATTAGGGTTACAGTGTATAATATTCTTAATAAATTCCTTTTTCTTTTAAAACAATTAACTTTATAAATTGTGATCTGAATGAACTACAGCGCAAACTGGTTTACTATTTAATGAATTACGCCCATTTTGCTTTGACATTGACTGCAATCGCCACCACTTTAACCGCACTCTTCCCACTCCTCCCCCATGTTTACCATTTCTTTCCTTTCCCTTCCGCCTGCTGAGCTTCATCCCTGGGCAAATGCTGCCCTTTAGATCTTGTATAGATGACTGTTCGAATGAATGACACCTTCTTAATCTTATTGTTCACCTTATAGAACTGTGTGTGGTTTGCTGCTGAACGGGGTGGG